GACACTGGAGCACCTTCACGACAAATGGTTAGATTACTTATCTAATCTCTCGGGCAGTGGGGCCCAAAGAGAAACAGAGTTCTATGAGTCTATGGCGTCCAGTACCGACGGAATGGTGCATATGGTGGACAGGGGCAGGAAAGCCCTGAATCGCCTGAGGTCTCATGAACACAGAATCAAAGCGATCCTCAGTCGGCTGAATGAGGAATCAGAAAGTGACTGTGGTGCCGAAGTCTCGAATGTTCAACAAAGAGAACAGTTCGTAAGGTTGCCACAAATTGAGTTGAAAGACTTCAGTGGAAACCCAATGGAGTGGCCACAGTTTTGGTCATTTTTTCAGGCTGCTGTAGATAGACAGCCAATCAGCGCAATTCAGAAATTCAATTATTTGATCTGCAGCCTCAAAGGAGCAGCTCATAGAGCCGTGGCAGGTTATGAAGTCACGCCTGAAAATTATCTGGTGGTACTAGAAGTACTCATGCGAAGGTTCGGAGATAGGGGTGTGATAAGGCATGCCCTACACAATGAATTAAAACAATTAAAGAGGATTGAGCAGTTCAAAGGTTTGCGAGAAATGATTAAAAGTATCGAGCGCATTTTGCTTCAACTGGAAAATTTGGGTGATGATGTAAACCACCCAAAGATTTTAATGGTGATTGAGAAGCTACCAAGATGGGTTCTCTTGGAATTATATGAAGCAAAAGGAAAGGACATTCCTTGGGATGTTAACAAAATGAGACGATATTTACAAACAATTGTTCAAAAAAGAGAAGAGGTAAACAGAATTTGTGGGAAGTTTCCGCAGAATATGCGCTCCAAAAAGAAATCAGAACCATTGGGAGTATACGGGCAGGATAAGCGAAGTGATCTTAGGACCTCTGCATTAACGGCAGTCACCAAAAACAAAGTTGGAGGAAGCACAAAATCTAGCTTTGAGCAAAATTGCGTATTCTGTGGTGGGAATCATTGGAATTCCCGATGTAATAAGTATAGCGCTGGGGAGCAGT